GACGAGGACTTTTTAATTTTGGTCACTCTCTTCGATTGTTTGTTGGACGAGGACTTTTTTCACCCAGGACAAAATTTTATTTTCATCTAAAAAAATTATTTGTAAGTAAACGGATATTCCCGTTTTACGTAATAAAATTCAATGTTAAAAAAAGCCATATAAATTAAGTAATAAATCCTATTTAATAAAAGGTTTTTAAAAATATACTACTTCTAATCTTTAATATAAAAGCTAGTTAGAGATTCAATTTGATTCTAAATATAAGATCTCAATTCACTTTGTCTCTAATATTTATTCATTTTACTCTCAAGTAATTTTTATAATAACTGCATATATTAAAGATAATTCAAATACACATAATTAAGAACAATATTTTAGAAAAGATAATATATATTTATTATAAATAACTAATTTTTTTTAATTTCAAAAATTAGATAATTAGCTTATATATCAAGAACCATATGTAGTAACTAAAATTCTCAATGAAAAAAATGAACTTTATACTTATCTTTTAATGAATCATAACACTTCATATTTTATTGACCTAACACATCAATATCTTTCAACTTCTATTTTTTTCTTTCAAAATTTTACGTTAACTTAATTTTTATAATCTTGATAAATCTGATTTCATATGGGTAACAGTTAATTTCGACTAATTCAGTTAAACATTAGTTTATTATTATAAAGATTATTTAGGATAAAATTGATAAATATTGAAGACAAAATAAATGGAGGTTTTATATTTGAAACCAAGATTGAATCTCTAGCCAGCCCTTATGTTAAGGGTTGGAGGTAGTATATTTTTCAAAAAATTTGGAGGAAACCTCGATCAAGTTCCTTCAAGTTTTCCAATCATATATAACCATATGTTCCTTTTTATTTTGTGTAAATTTATGACTAAATGCTATTAAATGTTAATAATTTAAAAATATGACACATGGTTATATATGATTAGAAAACTTGACATAATTAATATAAAAAAAACTTGATATAAATATTGTTAAAAAAAATTTATTTAATGGGATTCATTTCTTGGTTTATATGACTTTTTTTCAATGGAGAATTTTATTAGGTCAAACAGGAATCTTTGTTTATTTACAAATAATTTTTTTAGATGAAAATAAAATTTTGCTGATGAGTGACAATCACCGCATCAAAGGATCAAAGACATGAGAGTGGACTCCTCCTTTTCCTTAATTCAGGAGTCAGGACTTGGACCTTAGGGCACGTCACTTCTGCCGCGTTTGACAAAATACTCCAAACGCATTGTCGTTTATCCGCAGCGGATGGTAACGTCAGCGAAGGGAAGCTGAGCCCCTCGTTTAATGAAGGCCACGAATATGGGTGAGTTGGGTAGTTCTGATATACTCTTCTAGTCCTATTTATAAGTTATTTTTAATATATTTTATACAGATTAAAAAAATTTTAAACTCAATTAATTCTCATTTACATTTAACAACTTTTTAATTTTATCACTATTTAATATATATTATTCTTTATGTAAACAAAACTAACACCATAATAAGTGGATGGTGAAATTATACATTCATACAAAATATTTTTCTCAATACTCTATAAATAAGATTAAAAAATATATTTTCTCTCTACTTTATAAATAGAACTAAAAGAGTAAGCTTGGGGGCAGTAATTCTCTCGCTAAGTGATGGAATTGCCCTCCAAACTTGGGTTTTAGTGCCAAAATGTGAATTTGATCCCTCGCGGACGTGCATTTGGTCGGATTGTGTTGTTGATGGAATTTGGGCATCCGCAAAATTAATGTCACAGTGCTAGTTTGTGAAGAAAATTACACCCAGAAGCTGGAACATTGTGGTATCTACTGGTTCTTTTTCTCACTGGATCTACTCGTCCAATATAATTCTCCATTGTTCGTTTTGGTTCTCAATGTCTAACTGTCTAATCCTCATCCGGTCCAAGTCTCAAAACACTTGATTACATATTTTTGTCACATAGATCAAGGGTTTTGCGAGAAAAATAGGTTTCTTAATACCACATCTAGTCATAATTATAAAACAAGACTTTATAATTAGGACCAGAAGTACTAAGTAAATAAACAGACGTCTATAAAAAACACAGGAAATAAGGAATTTATTCATGGTTCTCTTTCCATTCTGATCTGTCCCTCTTATTAACTTCAATTCTTTCCCGAGTAAAGCATGATGAGGGCGCAAGAACACACTAACGACACTGCGTTAACGGCACACACTGCATGCATTAACTCACAAGTCACAACACTACTCACACTCATCACTAATTTCCTAATTATTCTGCTAAACTCTTAGGATGTGTTTGGTATGAAGGATTTGGAGGGGGGAAAAGGAAGGATTTTAATCATTTTTTCTTGTTTGGCAATAAAAATTTTAGGAGGGGAGGAAAAATTTTAAAAAAATTTTCTCTCCCCGCCCCTCCTCAACCTAGGGTTGTGTAAAAACTCGGTAGTTCGGTATGGTTCAGTTCAATCTAAGCAAACCCGGTCCAATCCGGTCAAGAAAAAATTAGCACGAAACAAAACTGGACCAGACTGGACCAAACTGATCTCATCGGGTTAGACCGGACTAGGGACTGGCCCCTCAGACCAGTTGGTCCAATTCAGTCTAGCCCGATTTTTTTAATTATTATTTATATAATTTTTTCATATAAGTTTTTTGTCTATTCAAATAATCAAGATTTATCTATTAACTTCCTAAGTAATGAGCATACATATATATTTTCTGTAATATAAGATTTATATTAACGAGGATTAATTAATAAAACATGACATTATTGGAAAATTGAAAGGAAATGATCAAATTTGATGAACTGTGGATTAAAATATGTGTAAAATTTTATATAGTAAGTCACAATTTTGTCTCCTATTGAAGAAATTTTTTTTTTAAAAAATTAAATTTAGGTCCTAGTCCAGGCAGTCCAGAGGACCAAGTCCAGTCCAACCCGACATCGGGTTGGTACTGGACTGGACCAGACCTCGAGCTGTCATTTTTAGCCCAAGGCCTTTACTGGCTCAGACTTCGGGTTGATAACAAACATAGTGTAGTCTGGTCCATGCACACCCCTACCTCAACCTCCCCTCCAAAATTGAGAGGATTTAGAGGGAAAGGGCAATATTTTGCCATGTTGTGACTATTATACTCATATTTTACTATGTGATGACCATTATGCCCATATCTTAAATAAAATGAGGGCAAAATTGTCCATATTAAAATTTTTTCCCTCCCCTTCCTTCATGAATTAAACAAAGTAATATTAAAACTCCTCCCCTCCCCTCCTTTTTTTTTATAAATCTAAACAATGTAATATTAAAATCCTTTCACTTTTCTCCCCTCACCTTTCCTCCATTAAAATCCCTCCCCTCCTCTTCTTTTCATTGAACCAAACAGACCCTTATGAACACACACAGCAACAGCCAATAAGAGCTTTAATTTAAAACCCCCCAAGCTAGTGGCGAATATATGAGGCTATGTACACAACTTTACTTTTGATTTATATATACAGCTTTACTTTTCATAATTCGCCATCCAGGCCACAAATTCTCTTCCATTTTTTACCTCAATAATTAAATTAATATTTTTCAGTTTAAATTTAGTGCTTTTAATTTTTTGTCTATAATTTTAAACAATTCAAAAAAAAAATTGGCAATTTGAAATTATTTTTTTTATAATTTAACTTTTTTATAATATTATCATGAAAGAGTAAAATTTAATCATTTAAATGTTACTCCTCATGTTCTTAATATAGAATCTAATTGTTGAGTTAATCTTGATCCTAAATATAAGACTTATTTATCATATCTATTTCTAAATTACCCCTATTGATACTCTCTCAACCATAATTAAGTAGAAAAATAAGAGAGGATATTAAAGAAGATGATTATGGTATTTTTAAAAAATCATGTCATATTTTTTATAATTAACTAAGTTACTTAACTTTTATAATCTTGTTAAATTAGTTAGATAGTTTTTATATTAAAGACTAGAAGAGTAATATAACAATTAGGAGATGAAGAAAAAGAAAAGAGGGGAAGGCGTGGGTAAGAAAACGAGATTCTCTCATGACGATGCTGATGCCACCGAAAATACCGTGGGAGTTACAAATCTAGAGACCATTTTATCACTTTGTCTCTTTAGTTCGATTCGCATTATCGTGATGTGAGCATGTGATTTGACCCCGATTCTTTTTGCTGCCGCTATTATGACTGTGTTTGCAAGCGTTTTTTTTCCTCTTTTAATTTTTATGTTTTCTCCAAAAATTTCATTGCCTTTACACCATCGCAAAGAAGTTGTACTTTGTATGAAAACCAAACAAAGGAGCAAACTCACTCTCAAAAGTTTCCTTATGGACTTTGAATCCGCAAAATTAATACAAGTCATACTCGATGGATCCTATTTAAAAACAAGCGAAACTTCCGTTTTTTATATCATTAGATTAATGGGTCGATATTATGCTTTCCCACCCTTTTTTGAAAGCAGCAGCCCTTTTATATATTACTGAGATGTTTAAGAGTAGCATATCAATACAAGTTTGTGAAGAATACACTTCAAGAAGCTGAACAATGTGGTATCTAATTATTTTTCTCCCCAGATCTACTCGTCCAATTCTCCATTGTTCGTTTTGGTTCTCAATGTCTGACTACTGTCTAATCACAAAGGCGGTCCAATTCTCAAAACACTTGATTACATATTTTTGTCATATAGATCAAGGGCTTCGCGAGAGGATAAGACATAACTCATAATAGGGCTTTGATTGATTTTTTAATATTTTCCCTCAATACTCTGTATCAAACTTAGAGGGAAAACAATATCGAACTAAATACCTCAAATCCTGTCATTGAAGTCAGCCGATTGCTTTGCAAGCTAATTTTCTTGATGCATGTGAGCCCGCACAAGTTTACGGCTTTAATTCGATTACGTCCAAGCCAAAGCTCCTGAAGACTTGTCAAGTTCTGCAGATTCTCCATTGCCTCAATCAGGAATGCAAATAAATCAGAACCCAAGCAACGCTACATTAGAAGCTACAGCGAGCAAAGTCACTGCCCACTTTTCCGCAGGGCACACAATCATGCTCCCACCCAATATATCATGTACGCCAGCACAAAGTGGCATCTGTCTCAAATAATACTATGTGATAGGTTCTCCTACAACAAACCATATTACTCACCCGTAATTTGTTAGAGCCGAGCTCAAGAATCTGCAGTTCATGAAAGTGATCAGTCTCCTCCATCTTCATCACTTCATTTCTAGGTACATGGAGCGCTTTTGGAGACCCGACAGTCCGACACTATCCATTCAGTGAAATAATTTCATTAAAAGAAAATAAAAAATCAAGTTTCTTAAATATGCTGGCATCAGGATTTTTTTTTTTTAATCGATTATCACGTAGCACCAGCTCCTGCATAAATACCAGTTTGTCATCAGCTTAAATATAGAAACAGGATAATCATAACCAATGACAAGAACAACTGTACATGAGAAAGAAGCATTTCTAACCGGCATTCTACACAGACCACCAACTACTTTGTGGCTTATAAATTAAAGCAACTGTATGTAAAATTCATCCGAAGTTATTTAACAAGGTCTGGAAACTTCCTTTTCCTCTTTCGTTCCAATTATGAAGATTCAATGTTTGGAGGCAAATAGATTTCCATTTAGATTAAAATTTTCAAGCAACTAATAGAGTGTGAAGAATATGAAAGAACTAATTAACTCCTTAACTCACTCCCATCATCTGAAATTGGTAGGAGCATAAACATGAACATTTTTAAGGAAAATATCTATCTCACTTAAGACGTCAAATTCCATTATAAATGTCTTCTGAATCATCCTGCATTGTCATGCCTTTCTCGGGGGCTATGTTAGGATGGAGAGGGGAAGGGAAGGTTTTCTGTAACCTTTCCCTTGCTTAGGAATAGTTAACAGAGACGGTAGAATAAACCTTCCAAAATCCTTCAAAGTCCTCCCTGCTTTACAATTTTAAGTTCCTCTCATTAGGAAAGTTTTGAAAGAAAGTTGAAAGGGTTCTCATTGACGCTCAATTTTCCAGCAACCAAAGATCAAATTCACAGCATCGCACCCACCTAAGCCTCAAAAAAAAAAAAAAGGGGGATATTTATGTACCATGTTTCTCTTCGGAAACGCATAGAGAACACAAGGACCAATTTTCCCAAACCTTTCTAGCAAGCAAAAAGCAATGGGAGGCAAAAGCATAACTTGAATTACCTCAAGACCGGCAATGTCGTGCCGGGCGGAAAGGGGCTCAACGGCAGCATCAGTGAGAAGGTTCTGACGAAGAGAAAGCTTCTTGAGGTTAGAGAGGTGGGCTATACGAGGGTCCAAGGCGGATAAGCGATTGGTGGTGAGATCCAATTCGGTGAGGTAGGGAGGCAAGTCGACGGAGTCGAGGTCGTGAAGTTGACAGCCGGTGAGATCAAGGAGGGTGGAAGAAGGATCCTCCTCAACCTCTGCCGGAATCCTGAACATTGGGATCACGAGCCGCAGGAGATTGGGCTCCATCGTTCATCTTTGAAGCTGAAGATCGATGGTTTCGGACAGATGCAATACCCCGCTCGATTATGGACTCAGTTTCCATGCTAAGCATAATGATGAGCACCAAGAGCTCATCATTTATGCGCACCGTTTTAATAATCATTCAGTGGCCAAGCAACGTCGTTTTGCTGGGATCTGTAAATTTGTGCTCACGATATTATTTTTCTTTATCTGAAGGAAGAGAAAACGCTTAGCAAGGCAAGTTCCAACCTTTTTTTGTTTTTTTCAAATAATGAGCAAGCTCCAAATTTTCGCAGTTGAGTCTCTTCTACTTGAAGATGAATACCAATGGCAACTCCCCAGCTTCAGCAGAAGGAGAAAAAATATCTCTGACAGATCAGGGTAATGAGTTTTTTTTTTTAAGTTAGAGAAGTATCTCAAAGCCACAGCACTTTGCACCCAAACTATCCAGCAAGATCCTTCAAACCTACGCTCACTTAGGGACATTCTTCACTTGCTAATTGACGGGTTTCAAATTGTTGATCTCTTTTATCTGCTTATTGTTCTTTTTACTGATCTGGTTTTTTGGATGTTGAATTTGTGAGTGATTGGGCTAAAAATACAATTGATCGGTTTCCAGTTTGCCACGAAGTTTTAGCGAAGGAGAGATCATGAAAAGTAAAAATGATTCGGGTATGTTAGTTTATCCGATTTTAGTCAAGAGAAGAGCAAAAGAGTAGCCATTTGGATGGGATTGGGGTAGTGCTTGTTCACCCTGGTTGTTGACATTAACCACCAACCAGTGTGTCTTTCGAAAGAGATGAAGTGCAGGAGAACAGAATTAACAAGGAGATGAAGAAACTTGAAGCATTTTGTTGACATTGGCTCCAAAGATTTTGTGAAATAAGGAGCAAAAGTCACAATCATTAGCCCCCTACTTCCTTCCTCCCTCTCTCATTTCTTCAATCGCTTGATTAGAAATTTAGCTTAGCCGCACATGAAAGCATCCTGAAGAAGAAGAGAGAGGATTGAAACGGTCCATGACTTCAGAATTTTTATCCGCAACAAGCAGTCATTATCACCCATCATTGAACGGTTAAGATCATTCATAACTTTAATGAAAAATTATCGCTCATCATCGAACGGTTAAGAGCATTCATAACCTTAATGAAACGGTGTGCCGTGGTGATGAGCTACTATCAAGCCGCTTCGCACCGAAACTCGTTCCCTCGATTATTAGCGTATGTGATCGATTGAATTGATTGGAGGCTACAAAATTTGCGAGTGCGTGGAAGTATAATTAGTAAATACGTCATCGTTGCGGGGTTAAGACGGTAGACGGGTAAAGTGATTGATTATTATTCTTTCCCTTTATCATGGTACATGTCTATAGAGAATCTGCGTAAAGACAATTTTAATTTTAATTCTAATTCGTCAATATTATAAGAAAACAAATCTAAAAAAATTGAAAAAAATGTATAAATCTTTTCATAGTATTTCTGACTGAAACTTAAAACAAATTAAATTATCTTAGGTGTTTTTCATTAATTACTTAACATTTATAGGAAATTTTTTATTTGCAAAAATTAGGGCTTAGGTGGGATGAATTTTAAAGTTTCAACAAGATTAAGAATATGCGATAATATTATCTTTTTATACATATTATTTTATAATTAATATAAACTGTAAAAATTTATGGAAAATGATCGTTTCCATTTTTTTTGCTAGTGATATTTCATTTTGTTATTTCTGATATATATTGACTTTTTAACAAACAAAAAAAAATATGTCCATGCTTTCGGTTTTCCACACATGTTACTGCATATAAAATAATTACTAAACTCCATGCAAATATTTTTTACTTTGTTGAAAAATTCAATGGCCTTGACCTTTATCTATTCTTTACTTATTTTTTAAATTAGCAAAAATAATTAAATCAGCCAGTCTCCATTATTTTGTTCACTATCTATACATTCAAGGTGCGTTTAACCACAACATTATAAACAATGTTGTCAATAATAATTGATTTTATTAAACAGTGTTTCGATATTATACATCCAAAAGCATTTTGGGTTAGAAAGGGAATTCATCTGAGGAATAGTAGGAATCTATTTTCTTCATATTTATTATATTTAAATGATTAAACAAAGATATATCAAACATATGTCAGTATTGGATAAAGCTCAAGCTAACAGTTACATGTACTGGCTTGAACATTAGGTTACGCGTTTGATAATTGAACAAAAAGAGAGTTTAGGAGAAATGCAATTGACATACGATTTATCATCAAAATTAATTATTTTGAATTTACTTGAGAATTGTCCCTCAAGTTTAATTTTAACTGAGAACTTGTTAAAAAATGGAGGAGTGACAATGAAGTAGCAGCCTCACAAATTTTTTTCTTACAGCTACTTCGTTAATTATATTGATATCGTCAGTTATTAAAATTATATTTTTTGAATGAATAGAAGATAAAACCAATATAACTATACCCAATATTTTTAATCAATAATTTTTTAATCGCCAAAGGCCGATTGAGAAATCCAGACCTCAATCCTTGAAAAATTCCCACAATTCATTTTCTGGTCGCTAAACTCTCCACAGTGCGACATCGAAACTAAGCACAGCCCTCACCTGCCCTGACCTCAGACAGGCACGGCCGCAGGCTGCCGGTATCACGATGAATTCCCTGATCCGGCAAACGATTTGGTAAAATCAAGAGGCATCTATGTTTCGACATTAGTGAGATTGGTTTCAAACGCCAGCTGCTATTTAATGATAAGGCTTTTGAAACACGAAGTTCCAATTTTTCTGGCCGCTTCTCGTTATTTCGATCCAAGTTTCTCTACTTTAGCTCTTGTTGCCCAAGACCGTCAGCGATACCCCACAACTTTGTCGTCCCTTCATTCTGGAAATGATTTCTCGAAAGATATAGCAACCTGCTTGTCAAACTGCAGATGTTTACTGGAATTGGACATAGTACATGCTCGTATTATCCGAACCCATTTCTTGGAATTTAATCCTGCTCCCTTTCATTGGAACAATATCATAAGGTCCTACACTAGGCTAGACTCTCCAGTCAAGGCTATTCGCGTCCATGTTGCGATGCTGCGAACTGGAACTTTCCCCGATTGCTACACCCTTCCCATCGTTCTGAAGGCTGTTTGCCAGTCTTTTGCGTTTGAAGTAGGACAGCAGATCCATTCTATCGGTATTAAGCTTGGACTACAGTTCAATGAGTTCTGCGAAAGTGGTTTTTTAAATTTGTACTGTAAAGCGGGAGAATTTGAAAGCGCCCACAAGCTGTTTGAGGAAAATCCTGAGCGAAAGCTGGGTTCTTGGAATGCCATAATAGGTGGTCTTTCCCAAGCCGGACTTGCTCAGGAGGCAATAAACAAGTTTGTGGAGATGATGAGAAATGGGTTCGTGCCGGACGGTGTCACCATGGTTAGCGTGACATCTGCATGCGGAAGCCTTGGTGACTTGGTCATGGCCTTTCAATTCCACAAATGTGTTTTGCAGGTGAAATCCACAGATCGGATAGAAATCTTATTGTTTAACTCACTGATAGACATGTATGGAAAATGCGGCAGGATGGACCTAGCCTTCAAAGTTTTTGAATCGATGGAAGAACGGAATATTTCATCATGGACGTCCATGATTGTGGGTTATGCAATGCAGGGACATGTAGAGGAAGCGTTTGAATGCTTCTGGAGAATGAGAGAGGCAGGGGTGAAGCCTAACCATGTGACTTTTGTTGGAGTACTTAGTGCTTGTGTGCATGGTGGGACAGTCGAAGAAGGAAGATTCTACTTTGACATGATGAGGAATATTTATGGCATAACACCGCGATTGCAACATTATGGATGCATGGTGGATCTATTGGGTAGAGCAGGATTGCTCAGTGAGGCCAGAAAAATGGTGGAGGAGATGCCAATGAAGCCCAATGCAGTAGTGTGGGGTTGTTTGATGGGTGCTTGTGAGAAATATGTGAATGTGGATATGGCGGAGTGGGTGGCTAAACATTTGCAAGAATTGGAACCCTGGAATGATGGGGCTTTTGTAGTGTTGTCTAATATCTATGCCAATGAAGGCATGTGGAAGCAGGTGGAGCATGTAAGATCAGTCATGAAGCGGAGAAGCCTTGCCAAAATCCCTGCCTACAGCTTAGCAACAAAGTCAGATTAAACGTGCGGTGGTGGAAGCCTATTTTGACTTTGATTTGCCTCACCTCGTGGACAGAAATGTTTATATTTTCTTGGAGAAGACTTGTCCCATGACCCATGTACGGCTGCACTGCAGTGTAATATAATGCCCACCTATTGGCAGTTTTTACATCTTTACTCTGAAAGGCCAGAATGCAATACCAGAAAGCAAAAAGAATTGTTTTCCCATTATATTATTCTTTTTCCTGAAAAGTAAGCATGATATGCCAGTATTCTTTTTACCATTTGTGACAAATCATTTAATTGTATTGTGACTTGAGCTTCTCCATCTTTTCATAGTTGACCGTCATAAGATCCCACTGCGGCTGTGGTGAAGTTGAAGTCTGTGCATGGCTACATTGGCTCATGACAGTGGGGTATTCCTTTGTACATGCAGCTTTCACTTCCTTCCAAGTAGTACGTCCCCTTCTCTTCCTTTCTCTGCCATATCTACCATACGAACATACCGGGGATGAGAGTAGGGGATTGTTCACAGGACATATTTGGCAGAATTTAATGCCACAGTTTGTTAATTCTCTCATTGGTCTAAGTTACTTTACCGAATAATGATGATGATTGTAGTAGTTTATAAAACGGTGTCAAGTTGAATTGGGAAACAGGTACTGAGTTCAGTTTCACCATGAGAGGAAATCGACCAAACAAAGAATCGGTAGAACTGGTGGGTGAATCGGTCACATTTTTTTTTTTGAAAAGGGTGTTTGGATGGAATATGGTTGGAAAATAACTTTTGGAGAATAGCTTTTGGGTCTGTTTGGAAAATATCTGAAATTATGGTTTGGGTAAAAAATTTGCCAAACAGGG